CAAACCTAGGCCATCAGGCTTGGCGGACAGTGTGCTTACAGCCTGAGCCATCTTGCCAAGTTAAAGATTTAGTATTTTAAAATGCCCTCTTTTGCTGAACAAATCTTCTTTTAGAAATCTTTCACAATTATCATATGCATTAGAAAAAAAAATATCTAAATTGAAGAAACTAAAAAACACAAGAACATTTTAGAAAGAATACTAAAAAGAGGGACCCTGGAGAACACAGTGAAATAAACCCAGGACAAAATGCCAATGGATTTCAATCAAGGACACAGCATGAGGAGTGTGTATTTTAGAATAATCATGACAGATTTATCAACTGGGGCTGGGCACCCCATGGTCACTTATTCTCTGCATGTGACCAGTTGTGGATCTCTGTAATAGTCTCCATCTGTTGCAAAAACCTTCTTTGATGAGATGTCAGAGCTACACTTACCTGTGGGTATATGGCTAAGTGTTTAGGATAGAATTACAAATTATGGTTGTTTAGGAAAATGACAACAGTAGGCTCTCCTCTAGGGTCTATAACCTCTCCAGCCATTAGTATCTGGATAAGTTTACAGTATCAGGCATGGATTTCATCCTAATAAACAGGCCTTAAATCTAATTAGACAGTTACTGGTCACCCCCAAGATAAAAGAGCCACTATTGCAGCATTGGGGACATCTTGCTATGCAAATCATTGCTATGGTTCATAAACTTTATAGCTAGGTAGGACTTGAGAGCTCAGGGAAAATCATGGAAGGGACTAATGCATAGTGTCTAATGAGAGGGTCCAAATATTATGGGAAGCCAAAAAGTCTGCATGCAGAACACCAGCTTCACAGTTGCCTTGTCTCTCCAACTGTGCTAGCTACAAGTGATGGCTGGTGACTGTCAGAGCAAGTGAAGACACCGGATGATGGCAGTGATGCAGAAGATATTGAAAAATGTCGATAAAAGCCCAAGAGCTCAACTAGAGTCTCAGGTAAAACTGGATGACAAAGTAGAAGGAAATGGGCACATCATATGTAAGAGGTATTTCAGAAGAGGAGAAACTCCCAGGACGCTCAGGTTCAGCAGATGGAGAACAGATGGGTAGGGTACAGAAGACTAAAGAACTGGGAGGTCAGATGGCACACAGAAGAGACAGGAAGCGGGGCCCTATTTCTTAATGAATGAAGGGCACTGCTATAGAAGCCAGGAAAAGTTGTAGACGATGAAAATTAGATGATTAAATCTCAAAAGGGAATTTTTGAAACCTAGTATGCAGGGGCTAGGAAAATGACTCAGTAGTTTAGAGCATACACAGTTTGGCTCCCAGATCACAACATCCTCTACAACTCCAAAGGATCCAAAATCTTCTAGACTCCACAGGTACCTTGTGTTCTCTCTCTCTCTCTCTGAAACCTTGTGCATGTTTTTCTCTCTCTCTGAACCTTTGTGTTCTATCTATCTATCTATCTATCTATCTATCTATCTATCTATCTA